GCCTTCATTGGTCGTCGGTCGAGGAGAAGCTGGTCGAGAAGGGGGATGCTCCGTCGCCCACATGGTGCGGAGTCCAGCCTCGACGACCGCCCAGGGTATCGCCCCGTACTCCTGGGCCTCATGGCGTCTCCTCGCATCCTTCAGCCATCCCTCCAGGGTGTCCATCACCTCTGTGTCACCTACGCGCACGCTAGGGACTGTACGGCTGCCGGCCTACGAGCAACTTAGGTAAGTAACGGCTACGTCGACCTATCTGAAAAGTAAGTCGTGTGCCGTCCACGCTCACCGCACCATACAGAGACAACTACTACAACGGGATCTAGACTACGGACTAGGCATGGATGCTTGTGTGATCTCTTCGTTCGTTGGTCCTTAGTCGTTTTCCTAGTGCACACACTGCTTGCTAGTTCACGGGGCAAATTGGCAAGAGTTTCACCAGAGAAAGTTGACAACAATGGTACAATAAGGTTGGCAAGACAAGACTACATCAGAGCTAGCATTCAGGTCGGTCGACTGCCAGCGCAGCATGGTCGACCGCGTTCTAGCACGACTTCGTCAACCGCGCTCCAACAGTGCAGAGTCGACGGCGTGCCAACGGTGCCCGTCGACGGCGTGATAGCGTAGCTCCTGCAGTACAGCATCGCACCAGCTTCGCAGGTGCTCGCAGATGATTGGCGTGATGAGCCTTGTCACCTGCACAGTGCACACACCAAGTCAACCTGGTGCTGACGACTGCATCTAATCAGCCACGTCGACCTCGGGATACCACCACCGAGGTCGGACTCGCCAACTTTGCCTGGGCAACCGTCGCACTCCTCCGCAGAACCTCGTCACCCAGGTAACCTGGTCGACCAGGCAACCACGTTGACCAGCTGCTCATGTATGTGCCCGTTGACCTCCCAAGTCGACGAGCACCCCAAGTCGACCTCACCAGGTCGAGCACGCCCCTGGTCGACCAGCTCCATGTCGACGTCACTCCTGGTCGACGTGGACCAGCACAGTTGTCAGCCGACCACCCAAGTCGGCTACCCGAAGTCGGCGTCACTAAGTCGACGCCCCTTCTACGTCAGTGCCGACTTCCAGGCTGACCGTTTAAAGTCGGCGACATTGCAGTGGTCCCGTGCAAGTCGATCGAACCTGTCGAACAGCTTGCCCAAGTCAGCGTCGTCCACTGCTGCAAGTCGGCTGCACCTCCCGTAAACCCAACCACGAATTCAGCTCCGCCCAAGCGAGGACAGGGCCAACAACAACTCCCGTTGACATCCAGGTGAGTTGAAATTGAACGCCGAGGACGATGATGCGTTCCGTTATCATTCTTCGCCTTGCCGAGAAGTTTGTTATTGTATATCAAGTGAAACTCGTTTTTGAATCAACGTAGGGCGACTCCGCACTTCATCAGCTGGGCGGCTGACAGAAGGTGAACTGGAAATCTGGCACAGCGAGGACATCGTTGATGTGAATGCAGTATCCCGTGTCGTTTGACTCTAGCTGAATGTGCCCGCGACCCCTCGTATCAATCGTCTGGTTGTTGGCGACTTTTATCTCAACCTCGTTGAAGAGTTCTTCACTGTTGAGGATGAAGAGACTTCACGAGACCATGTGTTGATTGCACCAACAGTCCAGGTACCACTTGTTGATGTCATTTTTTACCTTAGTGAGGTTTTCAAGCTTTGGAGTCAGATGGTGGTCCATGTCGTGATCATTTTCGTAATCGTATCCTTCGTCATTATAATGCGTGTACGTGGCAACTCTTGGATCCACGGCGGTGCCTTTCCAGTCGTACTGCATACGTCCAATGGTCAGCTCGTCATAGGTGGGATCGTTCTCTTCCTCTTTTTCGACGGATCATGCAGGTCTCTCTTGAGGTGGGTCTTGCCACATGTTTTCCCAAGAGCGGAAGAAATGGTAGTGCCGATTGGATCGAGGTGGTTTGCGATGCACCATGCAGGTTAACACCTTGTTCTTTCCCTTATTGCTTGCAAAGAAGCGCGCGGGAGCCTGAGAAGTGCTGGCGACGGCGGGCGGGGACACGGTCTGGTTGCGCGCTATTTGCTGGTAAGGTGCTCCTCCCTGTTGCATGTAGTTGCCATTGTTGATGACGTTGTTATTGACCTTGTTGCCGTTGTTGTTGTCGTTCAGCTTCCAGCACTCCTTGATCGTGTGCCCTGTCCTCTTGCAGTACTTGTAGAAGAGCCTTTTCTTGTCGGGTGACCCTTCTGCAATCATGTAAAACGCAATCTTTAATTTCTTGTTGGCTCTCTCATGGTAAAGGCCGAATTTTTTTTGTTCGGAGAGGAGCGAGGCGCAGAGTGAAGTCTCGCTGAGCGTGCCTTGAGTGCGAAGGAGTGATTTGCAGTGGTGCCAATCTAAACTCAATCCAGCGAGGATGATGGTGATGAACATGTCGTCAGGGAAGGTGCGGCGCAATTCTTAAACTGGTCTCTTAGATTTTTGCAGCGGCTGATGTATGGCCCGGCCTTTTCTCCAAAAAACATCCTCACATTGTTTAGCTGGATCAGTAGGTGACTGGGTGTCACCGAGTCCGTTGCCATGTGTCAGGTGCGCATGTGTTCCCAGGATTGCCCACTCGTTTTTTAAGAAACGAATTCTGAGTTGCTCCTCGGGCGTCAGATTCTGAATGAGGACGGTGAAGGCAAGCAACGACTCGTTGTAGTACTGAGTCTTCTCTTGAGGTGAGCCGTTGACCGAGAAAGGTAGTGAACCATCGTAGTACATCCAGATCTGCGCGCTTTGTGCCAGAAGTTCAAATTCTTAGCTCCAGGTGTAGAAGTCCTTCCCGTCGAAGAGCTTGGTCGTTCTTAACTTTGATGTTGATTGGAACTTTCTTTGTATTGATGCCATGGCTTTGTCATGTGTCTGTTGTGCTTGTGCAGATCCTTGCGCTCCACGATTGTCGAAGGTGAATGACCACTGGGAGTGTTCTCCTAATGGATCGAGAGGTCTGAGAGCGTAGCTAGAGCCATCAATGCTCATCGGCTGATGGCTCTCCAATGTGCTGATGGCTGCTCAATGAGCGATGTGTCCACAGTTGTCATTCCAAAGGCGACAGTTGTGGAAGGATGACCTGGATGTTCTGCAGTCTCGCCGTAGTCTATGCGTGGCATGATGCCTGCTTTGAATGTTGGAATAATTTATAATAAAGATTGTTTTGATCGGAAGGTTTTGGCAGTCCCTATAATCCAATCTGGCTCTCATACCACATTATTAGAAGGATCTTGGATAGGATAGATCTGCCTTAGAGAATTTATAGCGGAAGTCTTTGTGGTAGGAGCCTTGTGCATAGTGGATGGAGATGACAAGATTGATTAGAAAATAAATTTACACACAATAGATAGATCTAACTAGCCATGTACTCTAAGGGGTATATTCCCTTATTATTACTGTTTTACAGGCATTTCTACAGTAACCCCGACTCTTGCTATTCTCTTGTTACCGAGTTGATGTATGTAAATGTTTAGACAGTTAGGCCTATTGCCATTCTTCTTGTGTAACCGTTTGGTTTCGATGGTCAACAGTCGTGATAGTTGAATTGCAACTTTTGACCTTCCTGCCCTTTATGGGCTGATTCGATAATGCTGCTGTTGTTGCTTCGGTGGAGGCGGGTGCGATATCGCTGCACCTACGGGAATGCCAAAGTTAATTCCCTCTTACTCCAACATAGCCAATGATCATTATAAAATTCCTGAAGGCTTCCCTTAGCGCATCGCTTCATAACGAGGCAGCACACCTGTTCCTATCCACTGCGATTCTTGTTATATCAACTGATGCTACTGCAACAAGTCGCAGTGGACTCTTGGGGCTGACGCTGGAGGTGTTGGGTTTGGGGGAGCTGGCGTCGGGAGTGCTGAGTTGGAGGTGCTGGTTCTGGGAATGCTGCAGCCATAGGTGCAGGAGCTAGAGGTATTAGCACTTGAGGTGCTCATTCTGAGGGTGATGACGTTGGAGGTGCAGGTGCTGGAGGTGCTGCCTGTCAGAATCACAGCCACTAGACAACTGGAATAAAATGGCTTGTTAAGTAGCGGGCCAGTGCGCCCATAATCCTCAATCCTCAACTCCTACATACGACAGTCAACAGCACGCACAGTCAGAAGTAATAGCAACCACGCAAACAAAGTTCGTTATGACATCAAAGCTGAAAACTTCAACTCTATTTGACGGAAAATATTTTTACACATGGAGCTTCGAATTTGAACTCCTCGCAACAACCGCGCAGATCTGGATGTATTACGACGAAATACCACGAGTCCCTCCTCGCATACTCTGCTCTTCTCCGAACCGTCGAGCATCTTGGCATCCGTTCCTTCGGGACAGAGTGGGCTCCTGCGCAAGTGTCTTGGAAGTACATGTGCAACTCATACATGGCAACAGATCTAGTAACCATGAGTCAACTACTCAGCCAACTGACATCAGTTAAAAATACTTAAAACCCGCAGCCTGAATTACAAAAAGTGTTTTGAGGTGTTAACACTTTCCCTCCCGAACCTGGGTGGTTACCAGGTGTCCAACCCGTAAACGTGGGGAAGTCACAGGTAACACAGGGAAGGATCGCTTGGGTCTCTCGCAACGAGTCTGACTGGGTGTGCACACCTAGTAGAAAATGTGTAACTCAGATCGAGAGAAATGGCATAGTTCCTCGCCTAGTTTTTGCCTGCACCACTGATTAGACCAGCATTTTCTTAGGCATTTGTAGCAGTCTCAATCGCAATCTTTGCCCGTTGTGACGCACTCGCGCCCATCCCGTCACATTAGTACTCCTCCCCCCCTCGTCGCCTATGCGAATCTGACTCGGTCGCGTAAACATGCTTACCTGCGTTGCCTATGCTCATCCCTCGAGTCGCGTAACCATATTCCCCTACGTCGCACTCGCTCATCCCGCCAGTCGCGAGAAACATACTCCCCACCCGCCGCCTTCGCTCCGTCCCCTCCATCGCCTACGCTCACTCACTCGCGCCGTCTTCGCTCATTCCCTTCTGTCACCCATGCTCACTCCCTCCCGTCGCGTTCACTCCCTCTCCTTCCGCCCTCCATGCGCACTCCCTCCCGTCGCGTTTGCTCACTCCCCTTTCACCACCAACGCACACTCCCTCCCGCCGCGTTTGCTCACTCCCCTCCCGTCACGACGGTCCCCTCCGTCGCCCACGCTCACTTCTCTCCGTCGCGCACGCTCACTCCCCTTCCGCCGCCCACACTCAATCCCTACCGTCGCCCACGCTCACTCCCTTCCCATCGCCCACGCTCACTCCCTTACCGTCGCCCACGCTCACTCCCTTACCGTCGCCCACGCTCACTCCCTTCCCATCATCTTCGCGCAATCCTTCTGTCGCCCACGCTCACACCCTCCTAACGCGTTCACTCACTCCCCTCCCATCGCGACGGTCCCTTACGTCGCCCACGCTTACTGCTTTCCCATCCCCTTTGCGCAATCCTTCCGTCGCGCACGATCATCCCCGCTCGTCGCACAAGGCCAATTTCCTCCCGTCGCACACTACCACTCGCGCTCTCCCTTTTCATCTCCTCCCATTCTCCCAAATCATCTTCGCACGTCCGCCCTTTTCGTATCCTCACCCCATCTCCTCCTCTCTCTGTCCCCTCCTCACTCCATCTCCTCCTCTCCTCGTCCCCTCCTTACTCCATCTCCTCTTCTCCCCGTTCCCCACTCACCCCTTCTCCTCCCCTTTCCCTGCACCCCTCCTCACCCCATCTCCGCCTCACCCCATCTCTGCCTCACCCCATCTCCTCACCCGATTTCCGTCTCACCCCATGTCCTCAACCCTTTACCATCTCATTCCCCTCCGTCGCCTATGCGCACTCCCTCTCCGCCCCGCTCGACAACTCCCCTTCCGTTGCCCACCTTCGCTCCCCTCCATCGCTCACCTTCGCTCCCCTCCATCGCCCACCTTCGCTCCCCTCCATCGCCCTCCCCACTCCCTCTCGTCGCCCACGCTCACTCCTCCCCGTCGAGGTCGGCAACGTGCTAAAGTCTCATGTCCTCACGCCCATTTTTTCCGTGCTTGACACTAGCGTCTTGCGCCTGTGTTTCCCTTCGTTTGCATACACGCGCGGCACCTACTATCTCAGGTTGTCTGCGATGTGTTCACTAAAAGACTCTAGCTGGTGTGCGATGGTCGGATTCTAAAACCGAGAGAATAAGTTGTTAGCTGTTCTGTCGCACCGATTTTCTTACTCTGGTCCAGTCCTTAGGATGTCGCTTTTTGTTTTCACTAGCTCGCAATTTTCGCGTTTCTTACAAACCTCACCCAACCCAACCCGAACCCAACCCGAAACTACCATTGACTCAGATATGTAATTCAGGCTTCGGGTTTTATGGGGAGAAATCGGGACCGTATATTAATCTGTGACGAAATCTGCGCTACCAGTTCAAGGAGTGTGGCGGAAACGTCCATGATGACATGTTTGTCTCCATAGTCCTTTGTGGACTAGGACAAGAGTGGCGACAGTGCCAGACATTGATTCGAGCTCGAGCAACCATCTCCAAATCCACCCTCTATGCCACACTCGTCTCCGAGCAGAAGGAGATTGACCTGTACAATGAGAAAAAGGGCAAGAGGGAAAAGCTAGTCTTCTTCGCTTGCGCAACTATAGGGGATTCAACGAGAAGAAGGGGTTCTTCTTAGCTTGGGTTTATTTTGTCATGCATAGATATGCTTGATTTCCTAGGTTAGGTGCATTCCTATATTTCATTATAGTTATAGCTGTGAAACTGAACGAGAATGAGATGACTAAGGGAAAGTTGGGTACAAGTACAAACCCTAGAAAGCTGTACCCCATATGTGCTACCCCACTATAGCCTACTGTAGCTATGTCATATAAATCTGACACACCCCCATAGGCAAAGTGGGGGAGAACAAGGGGTCACAAGACCAGTCAAGCAAAGCAAAGAAAGCTCAGGGTGGATCACAAAGTCACCACACATTCCGAGCACAAGTTCAAGGCCACAAGGCCAGTTCACATGCAGGATTACATATATATATAAGGCTAAACAAGCAAGAGCAGGTGTATATATATATGCAACAGTACAAACAAGGTCAAGGGGTGAGCAAGTGAGGCAAGGTAGGCACAAGACCCAGCTGAGTACAGAAGCGCTGATGATCACAAGGCGCAAGTGCCTTGGTAAAGATATCAGCAGTGTTGGCCTCAGAGGCCACGTACGCAAGGTGCAGCTGACCGCGCTGCTGTAGCTCACGAGCAAGGAAGTAGCGGAGAGCAATGTGCTTCGTTCTGTACTCCAGTCTCTGCTCTCGACACAAGGCCAGCATGGCCTTGTTGTCTACGTACAGCACTGGAGGAGAACGAGGCGGCTCTCCGAGGTCAGTCAGCAGGTAGGTGAGCCAGCGAAGCTCCTGTGCAGCCATGGCCCCGGCGTAGATCTCAGCCTCACAACTGGAGCCGAGAACCGAAGACGAGCGGGTAGCCCGCCACGAAACAGAGCCGGAACCAAGGCTGAAGGTGTAACCCTGTGACGACCGCTGCGTAGCCTGGTCGTGAGCCTAAGAAGCGTCTGCGTGCCCAGTATGGACCACTGGACTATGCCCTCCAAGCACAAGCCCCATGCCCGACGTACTGCACAAGTAGCGCAACACCCTCTTCGCTGCAGCCATGTGCTCCGGTCTGTGTCTCCCAGGAGCAACATAGCGTGCGAGAATGCTAAGAGGGTATGCAAGGTCAGGTCGTGTGCAGGTCATCAGGTACATGAGGCAGCCAACAAGCTCTGGGTACGGGCCACTCGACTCTACGGACTCATCCAAAGGCAGAGCTGAGAGTGAGTGGCGAGTAGGCAGAGGAGTGGTCTGAGGCGAGGAGTACATAAAGCCGAAGCGCTGAAGGACCTGCTGCACCATGTGTGACTGAGTCAGGGTAATGGTGCGCTGTGCTCTGTCCCGGGTGATCTGGAAGCCAAGGTAGCTGCGCAGTTCACCCAGGTCTGTGCACGTGTGTCTCTTCTGCAGCTCGGACTTCACGTGGGCGAGTCAAGCAGTGTCAGCAGTGGCAAAGACCAAGTCGTCGACGTACACGAGGATGTAGAACGGCGGCAAACAGGTGTCGGTGCGCAGAAACAGCGACGGGTCGGCAGTAGAGGGAGCAAACCCAAGAGCCGCAAGTGTAGTCCTCAGTGTGTCGTGCCACTCACGCGGTGCCTGGCGGAGACCGTAGACTGGTCGCCGGAGGCTCCTGTGGGTGCCAGGAGGAAAAGACCCAGTGAAACCAGGTGGGCGACACAGCCAGATCTCCTCGTGCAGGCTGCCGTGCAAGAAAGCAGTGCTGAAGTCAAGAGAGTGCAGCTCGTAGTCACGGTGAGCAGCTATGTGCAGCAGTACCCGAAGAGTGGTCATCTTTGGAGTGGGAGAGAAGGTCTGAAAGTAGTCAACTCCCTGCCGCTGACTAAAGCCACGAGCCACGTAACGCGCCTTGAAGACAGGCGGAGAACCCGGCGGCCGCTTCACCCTGAAAATCCACATGCCACTGACGATGTTCGCCCCAGGCGGGGGAACCTCGTCAACATAGGTGCCTGTGGACTTCCAGGAAGCCATCTCTGTGTCCATAGCTGCCTGCCACTGAGAGGAGTAGGGACCCTCTATCGCCTCCGCGTAAGAGCGCGGAGTCGGGATGTCAAGTGCATCCGGGTCTCCCTCAGGGGTAAGCAGTACGGACACGAGATGAGGTGAAGCAGCAGCCAAACACTGGAACTCCTCTTGCCTGTCCTCAAGGACGTCCGTGCCAAGGGCACACTCACCCCCGACGGACGGAGGACAGACAGTCTCAGACTCAGCGACAAGACTAGCAGCGTAGTCTAGACGACAGCGAGCAGCGAAGTCGACGAGCTCAGCAACTAGGGCAGACGAAGCAGTGGACTCAAAGGAAGGGTCAGTGACGAGAGTAGCAAGGAGACGCGTGACAGTAGGACTGGCAGCTCGAAGAGAGTCTGACTCCGGGTCGGCAAGAGCAGGAAGCGAGGACTCAGGAGGAGAAGGCAAAGGGGCACCCAGAGGAGCAGTGGACGGACGCAGAGACATCCGGTGCGTGCCAGGGACAGGAGGAGGACGCTGACGCGAACCACGACCACTAGCGCGAGCAGGACGGACAGGCGACATAGGGCGAGACGCAGGCTCACGACGCTCAGCAAGACCTCCAGTAGGACCAGTGTAGGGAGAAGGAGCAGGCAGTGGGGAGGCCGGCTGTAATTGCAATTGTAACGGGACAGGCTGTGGACACTCTAAGAGAGGAGGAGGACCAGTAGAAGGCGGGAGACCAAGCACCTGATGAAGGAGTGGAATGAAGTACGGCCGAGGCCGCGCGGCGACTCCAGACACAGCAGGGACAGCACCAGTACCCCCAGCGGCAGCACGAGCGCCAGCAGCACCTCCAGCTCCAGTACCTCCAGCAGCACCAGTAGCACCCCCAGCAGGACCGCCTCCAGGACCGACAGCAGTAGCCTCAGCGCCAACACCCTCAGCAGCTCCATTTCCAGTCGTACTCGCAGGCCCAGCAGCTCTAGTACTCCCAGTACGAGCACCTCCGGGACCCGCGGCACCAGCACCCTCAGCAGCCGAAGAACCTCCAGCTCCAGCAGCATGCCTCCAGCGCCGGGCAAACCACTCGCGCAGCTCCTGTGGAGAGAGTGGCTCCCGCCAAGACGAAGCACCCGGAGAACCTCCAGGCCCAACACCGCCAGACGCCATACGAGCAGGCCCAGCTCCCTCAGGCTCCGCACCCCCAGGCTCAGAACCTCCAGACGTAGCACCCCCAGGCGCAGCACCCCAAGGCTCAGCACCCCCAGGCTCAGCACCCTCAGTGTTAGCACCCCCAGGCTCAGCACCCCCAGGCTCAGCACCCCCAGTAGTAGCACCCTCAGGCTCAGCACCCCCAGGCGTAGCACCCACACGCTCAGCACCCCCAGAGTCAGCACCCCCAGGCTTAGCACCCTCAGCAGCACCAGAGTTACCAGTAACCTCGACAGGCTCGACTGCGTCTACCTGGGACACACCTGAAGGGGTAGGACCCTGAGGGGGTAGGGGGTCTACCGGGGGGGGACCTGGCACAAGGAAGAGCGGTGGCGGGGGGAGAGAAGGAGTGCGGTAGGGGAAGAGGTGGTAGTAGGGGACCGACTCGTCAAACGTGACGTCCTGGGAGGACAGAACACGGCGAGAGGTGGGGTGGTAGAACTGCCACCCTGGCGCGTCAAGGGGGAAGCCAAGGAAGACGCAAGGAGCAGCACGAGGGGACACCTTGTCCGCAGACAAGTCGCAGACAAACGCCCGAGATCCCCAGACACGGAACGTAGACGCATCGCCAACCTTCCCCGTCCACATCAAAGTTGGGGAGGTCTCCGGCATGGAGACCCTGGGGTGAAGGTTGATCTGATGCGCCGCGTACCGAACCGCAAACGGCCACAGAAAATGGGGGGCAGCCGCATGCATCATGGACGTACGGGCGACGTCCATGACCATGCCAATGCGGCGCTCAGCAATCCCATTTTGCTGTGGATAGTCCGGAAGCGTGAAGGTCTGGCGGATGCCTCGTGCACGACAGTAGGCTCGCAGAAGGCCAGAGGAGAACTCTCCGCCTCTGTCAGAGTGCAGACGCAGAACAGGAAAGTCCGAGCCGAAGCTCTGCCTGAGCTGGAGACGAGCTGCGCGAATCCAAACGATCAACACCTCAATGACATCACCCTTGCTGCGCAAGGGGAAGACTGTGGTGTAACGCGAGTAGTCGTCAACCACCAACAGGAAGTAGCGCTCGTGACCCTGTCCACGGACGCGGGCAGGGCCTCAATGTGAAGCGTCTGCAGCGGGGCCTCTGTCGGAGGAAACTGGGAGGAGTGAGGGGCAGCCTGCTGCCGCCCCTCGACACAGGGGACGCAGGTAGGGCCAGGCCCCAGAGGAAGGGGAGGGAGGGACCGGGGAAGACCAGAGACAAGGACACGGGAGGCCATGCCTCGGAGACGAAGCAGGGAGGGGTGACCAAGGCGGTGGTGCCAGAGGAGAGTCTCGTGAGACAGGAGGCGACACGAGCAGGGGGCAGACTCAGGACCAGACCTGGACGCTGCAGCAAACACCTGACCCGAAGCAGCTACCTGACCAGACGCAGTGACTGGAGGAGATGCAGTGGTCAGTGTGTACAGGCTTGACCCCGGTCGACGTGTAAACGTGGCCAGGTGTCGGCTTGTCCGAGCGTCCGTGCAG